ATAGATAGATAGATAGATAGATTAGATTAGATTAGATTAGATTAGATTAGATTAGATTAGATTAGATTAGATTAGATTAGATAGATAGATAGATAGATAGATAGATAGATAGAGCGAGAAATAGAGAGCTAGATAATTAGAGGGAGAGAGAGAGAGAGAGAGACAGATAGAGATACATGTAAAGCTTACTTCGTCCAAGCAGCGAGTTTCCCTCACTGCTGTCCGGAAGGATGTCAGTCGCTTCCTGGCCCCAATCAGACTTCCACCGTGCAGCCCAAAGGTGGCATATCATATATCAATATATTTATAATGTCATACAAACCGTCTTCGTAAGAACTCGATAGCGCTGTATGATATGAAGCTTCAGCGCAATGGAAATGCTGTCCAACCACGGTTTCTTGAAATCGGCAGACTTTCCTGCTGCAAAAGGCCAGGACCGAGCCTCGGATCAACGGCTGGGGTCGTCACCGTGATCGTTTCGGATGAGAAAGACCAGATCAGCTCAAGAGAATCCGATTCTGCCTGCATCAGCATGAAGCTCCATGACTACGGCATGGGGCATTGAACCTGTATGTACAAGACTGCTGACATGTTGATCCTGGACAGGTACATCCCTGATGACTCCCTGCATGCGTACATACATCCATGCGGGCATACATGCATGCGCCCATACATACATACATAAATACATACCTACATACATACCTACGTACGTACGTACCTACTTACCGCCGTACTTACGAGCACATGTACATCCGGACGTGCATGCATGCATCTATGCATGCCTACATACATACCTGTATACAGTCTGAAGATGTCTGAAGTGAGCTTGCATGTGGCTTGTTTTCCTGGTTCGATTCGTTTGTTTCGGTACGTTGGGTTTGAGCACAGCCCATGTTCACGAGTCGTGAGGGGTCCAGTATCTTGATCTTTCTCGTGACTGAAACCTCAGCATATCGCGATTTGGGCCCCACTAAAGTAGGATTTGACAATTAGGGAGATCTGAGCCCTGAAGATTTCGCCGCGCCTCTGTGAACAAAGGCACGGCCCATTCGACGACGAAGCCCTTGACCGCGCCTCCGGGCCACAGTGAGAGCGCTCACCCACAAACAGTGCAGCACTCCCGCCATGAACCCCCCGAATCCGACACCCCAAAGCGCCATCTCCCGAATCTTCGACCCTAAAACCCCCCAAACCCCAACCTGAAAGCCCCACCCCGTGAGTCCTAAACCCTAAACCCTAAACTTAACCCTAAAGCCCTAAACCCTAAACCCTCAAGCCTAAAACCCTAAACCCCAAGCCTTAAGCCGACATCCCGTGGCCTAGAGGTCTCAGGAACGACGAGCTCGTTTTGGAGGAGTTGGGCTCGATTTGTGCTTGTCGGAGCACCTGCCGACGGTGTTCATCTTGGGGTTGCAGGAGGGTTCCGTAAGGGTCCCGTAAGGGGTTCAATACAGGGTTCTAGAGGGTTTTAGGGTTTAGGGCTTGGGGGCTCGGCTTCAGGACTTAGCCTTCGAGGGCTTGAGGGATTATCTGCGACAACGACAAGTTAAGTGCAACGTGCTTATTTGTATAGCTATGCCTTTCAGGGGCTGAAGAGAAAACTTTTTGTGTCCATCTCGGTCTCCACAAATCCCCATCACCTGCTTCTTATTCTAGAGCATTGTAGAATTCTGAAACCGAGCCGAAACCGCGGTCCTGAGCAGTGAAGTGGGCGAAGAGGTATAGGCACGCCAGCACAATGATCATAAGGAGTGAGTAGGCGACCCTTAGGGGGTGTAGAGCTTGTGAGTGTTTTTCAGGTTCAAACGGAATCAAAGCTGGTAACTCTCGCAGGCTGTAGGCAGGCCAGGTTTGAAAGGCTTCTAAGCAGAGTGGCGCATGCGTAGTTGCTGCCGGCGGCTTCAGAATGAGAAGTGACGCCACGGCAAAGAAGAGTAGGAAGCGGATCGCGGACAGTGTCACCTGCTGCCAAGCTCCGGCTCAGCACAGGGAGTTCAACATGGACCGATGGCCTCCACGACATCAAGGATTTCGGCTTGATCGTTTGCATAGGGCTTGACCCAAGCTGCCAAATACACCTCCACGGGCAAGAGTTGGAGCTTAGCTTTCAGGACTACGGCAACATATCATTATATCATTACCTCAACAAGGTGGACACAAGCCATCTAGCATCTTCCGAATCCGTGGCAACACGCTTCGAACGGCACGGTGGGGGATAGGGAATGCCTGTCGGGCAAGTGCTTGCGGGATTCGGGGAAGCTTCGACGGAGCATCAGGCACTACGTGAGCCTCACTCGGTCCCGGCGCGAACGGGCGAAGTCGGGGTCATGCGCTTTGGAGCTCAGACGAAACACACATACAGGTCCCGGCTGCAGAGCTGGGCTTCGTCGCCTGGAAGCCGGAGAGGGCGGGGAAGAGCATGAGCTTGCCTTTCGGATCTGGCACCACAGAAGTGTAGGTGAGAAGCATCATCAAGGCCACGTCCTTATCTCTTCATACAGAGACACTAGACTCACGAGACTCGCGAGCGCTGGCTTTCAGATCGTCACCGCATATCTGAGGCCATGTCCAAACGCTTAACCAGGAGGTCCCACCACCAGAACTTCGGCTCCAGGCCCTGGAAGAAGAAGCCGAAGCGCCTTGCGGCAGGGCCGAAAAAGGGTCTTCTTCATCCCGCCCTCTCTCACTTTCTCTCAAAAGCCTCATAAAGCCTCCCTCTCCCTCCCTCTTTCAGGCCTGAAGTTCTCTGGAGACTGTCTATCTGGGATGAGTAGCAGCCGGACGGCCAGCGTGAGCGGGATGCCAAGGCACCAAACCACGAGCCCAGCAATCGCGATGCGGGCAGAAACCAGGTGGTCGTCGGACCAGCATACTATTGAAGGGTTGGGCAGCAGGCGATTGACGATGACATCGTCCTCCTGGACCGGAACACACCAAATCATCTGCAGGAAGCTGGAGAGTAGGCCAGGCCATAGAGAGACCAGGCTGATCCAGATGACAGGGACGCTCTGGTTCAAGAGCTCGCCGAAGCGAGGTGTCGCTGAGAAAAGTCCAAAATCAAGCGTCTCCACCACCTGCCAATCCTATATGTGCAAGCGGATCTAGCTAAGGCTGGACTACAACTAGTGTAGTTTTCAGCGCAGCACCGTATCCACCATGGGGCTCGAGGCGTGCTGCGACACGGCAATCTTCGTCTCGTGCGCCCTCGGCACAAGCTACAATGCTCTGCAGGTAACGAGGACCCCACAAACCCAATTCTTGCCGGCACAGTTCTCAGGAGGGGACGTGTCGTCAATAGGCTGCAAAGCGACTTCGGCTGCCTCGGACTCGGACCCACCTAAGTGCTCTGAGCCCTCCAGATGCTCCGTGGTGTCGTTCTCTTCGGAGCGTTCGAAAGCTTCTTTGGATGCCTCAGCGCTGGGGAGGGTAGCGCCGGTCCGTACTCCATACAAGACCGCATCCAGCATGCTGGTAAATTTCTCGAACTGCGCGGCGAAGTCAGTAGTCAGGAAAGGCCGCAGATCTGCCTGGGCGCGTGGGACGTCCCTGAAAATCGCATAACTCTCCCGGCTTTGTCTGGGCAGGTGCGCCTGCGCCAGCTCCTCGTGGACCTGTTGCGGCTCGGCCTGTGCTCGGGCCGCGCAGGCCCTCAGCAGCAGCTCCCGGGATCCGGCCACCGTGTTGCACAGGAAGGTGTCGAGATCGTCGGCTGCAAGCTGCACCTGAGCCACGGTGTGGAAATGCAAGGCACCCGAGCGCTCGAGGTCCACCCAAGAGAAGGTGACGGGAGTGTTCGATGTCGGAGCCACGGCAGGAAGGCCGGACGTCCGCGGAAAAGTCTCACTCAGCATCTGATCCATTGCCTCGCGCAGGCTTTTCATGGCCTTTGCCTGCTTTTGTTGGCGGCGTGCAACCTCGTTGAAGGCGAAGCCCAAGCGCTTGCCCGAAGGTACCAGCCCATGCACCACCAGCAAAGAGAGCAGCACTATGCCCAGAATCACCAGCAAAGGCAGGATGAGATAGTACACCCCAACGGCTAAGCTCGGGGCCGTGCTCTGGGAAGAGAATTCCTCACAAGGCAACGGAAGGCCAGGAAGCTGGGGCCTTTCCCCATGCCAAACGTCCCTATCTTAAGGCCGCCCCCTACCTTTGCCAAGCACTGTGCTGCCAAGTCGATGGAAGTCAAGATGGGGTTTAGCGTGAAGGTCTCGAAGAGGCCGCGCATCGCCGCGGTGACTTGTGCAGGCCACGGGAAGAGCCGAGTATCCTCCTCTCCGGACCAGGTCTCTGTGACCTCGTTGACAGGTATCCTGAGTTCGTGTTGGGGATACGGTTGATGGACAAAATCCTGCATGACCTTAAGGACCCTAAACTATGGGAATTATGGTATATTCCTTAGAGTGGGTAATGCAGGATTTTGTCCATCAACCGTATGACAACAGTAAATCAGTACAAACCGTGTGCTTTCCGCTTCATGGCAGTTCAGCTGCGTTGCCCCAAAAAAGACCCCGTAACAGCTTGTAGCATAACCCCTTGGCCCTAAACCCTAAACCCTACGGCCCTAAGCTTTCACACTCAAACCTCTGAACCCTCAACCAAAGGTCCTATAGACTCTTAAACCCTAAACCCAGTATCTGGGTCAGATCGAAGATTGCTAGCACCGAGCAGACAGCCAGCCACTGGGTGGCTATGCGGATCATCACCTTACTGGTGCTGAAGAAAGGTGAGGACTACACTACGTGAGGACTACAGAATCATACGGAAGTGCTGGAGGAAGTGAGGAGAAGGAATACAAGGACTACCATATATAACGGACTATATAGGGACCACTGTAGGGATCCACTCTTCCCAGCTCCAGCAAGTCACCGTGTGAAGCTTGCTGCTTGCTCTGACGGCAGCTGTTGCCGCCATGGACGCCACAACGAAGCTGACAGTGGCCTCCGGGCCACTGCGCGGTTCAGACTCGGCCGTACAGTATCTTGCAGTATCTTGTGGTATCTTATGGTATCTTGTAGCTCTTGTGGCATCTTATGGTAGCTTATGGTATCTTATAATATCTTATGGTATCTTATGATATATTATTCTGCTCGGACTCTGCATCGCCGCATTGCCTTAACTCTGGAACTCCCAAAACAAACCATCGAGCACTGTACAGTAGCACCACTTCTAAGCTAGCTCCATCTTTCAGGAGTTGCGGATTTAAACAGCGGCAACTTGGTGAACCGCGCGCGGCCTTCGTCCCAACATCGATGATGACTGCAGCAATCAGCGGCAAAGTAGCCCCGGCAGCACACGGTTCGCATGGCTGCAGGAAGGCACTCCTGGCCCAACCAGCTGGGCATTCTCCGCACAAGAACCCAGTGGAGCCTTCGTCGCAAGCGTTCTCATACTTGCCGAGGCATTCCACTGCGTCAACTTGCTTGCATAGTTGCCCTCCGAGGCAAGCGCTGAGGCCAGCGGCTGTGATGGCCGTGCACTTCACTGCAAGCGTCACTCCTGTTTGGAAGTACCCAGGCCGAGCGACAGGCAGCGTGTGGTTGCCAGTCTGAGTGTGAAAACCACCCAAGCACTGCAAATGAGGAAGGAAGGCACAACTGGCGCACCTGGACAGCAATCCTGCTGCATCCAGGACTGCATAAAACCCAAGCGTGCAGAAGCAGTCGGCAAAGTTGGTGGACGCGTTGGCACTTTGGGCATTTGTAGGGCACTGGAAAAGGCACGATGGATCGTTAGCCAGCGTGGGCTTGTACCGTCCAGGTTGGCATGGCTCACAGATGCCCTGAGCTTCAAGGGCGTGTCCTGGAAGACACAAGCAGTCTGCCTGCAGGATCGAGCCAACGCGTGAGGTGGCGCTATCCTGGCATTGCAGCTCATCACCCTGGCCCGGGCAAAAGAAGCCTTCCCTGCAGTCTCGGCAGGTTTCGCCGTCTGCTGCCAGACCCGACCGGCACTGACAGTCGAGGGGAGACATGGCACCCTCCATGGAGGTCTTGTTGGTAGAGCACCGGCTGCACGGGTTGTCGCCTACCAGTGCTTTGTATTCGCCCGGAAGGCATGGTCTGCACTGCGCGATCTCCTCGTCAAAACCATAGCCCTGTCGGCATCTGCAGCGCTCTGTGCTTCCAGTGCCGTTGCTGAAGGTGCCCGTGCCACACGGCGAGCATGCGAAGTCTCCAACGCTGCCCTTGAAAAATCCAACTGGGCATGGGGCACAAAGCCCGTCCTCCAAGAAGCTGCCAGCCTGGCAAACGCACTGGGATTCGTCTGCTGAAGAGTCGCTCTCGGTGGTTTGGGACGGTGCACACGGCTGCCGGGTCTGCAGGCCCCCTGTACAGAAAAAGCCCACGCCGCAGGCTTCGCAAACCGCAGGATTGTCGAGCTGCGTGGTGAAGAAGCCCGGCATGCATCTGCAGGACGCAAGGCTGGTGGCTCCCTCCTCCAGTCATGAGCGGAAGAGAAGAAACCTCAAGCAGCTACCTACGAACTGCAGACGACCCGCCTGCAACGTCCAAGACCCAGCCGGGCAGGCCAAGCAGATCGCGCTCTCTGCGTCCCAGTAGCGCCCTCGAAGGCACAAACAGTCGGAGAGTTGGCCTCGGTGGAAGAGAACAGCTGAACGACGCTGACCGATCTGTTTCTGTGAGATCAGGACAGCGTGCGAGGCTCTCTGCTGGGCGGCGGACTTGAGCCCTCTGCCGAAGTGCTCGCCGACGGACAGCTCTGCACTTCGGATCCTCCGGGGCAGAAGAAGTTCGGCGGACAGGGCAGGCAGGAGGAGCCGGGCCCTTCGTTGTACTCGCCCGGTGGGCAGATGACGTCCAAGTTCAGGGCCACCACGAGAAACTCCTCTGCCGAAGTGCAAGGGGCCGTGGCAGGGCACCAGCAAAGCTCCAAAGCTTCCGGTTTGAGGCCCTCCGTTGGGTCTAGGAAGCCGACGTGCAAGGTGTACCAACCGTACGACTCGTTGAAAGAGACGGAGACGGAGCGCTGGGAGTAGGTGGAGGCGGAGGCCTGAGGCTCTCCACTAGGTAGCATTGCGCGGACTGGCGCAGCTGCGGCCCCTCCACGACAAAGTACCCCACTGCCGCACTGAAGTTGTCGGGATGACTGCAGTTGGTGTCACACCAGCACAGGCGGTGATGCCCCGGTTCTGCAAAGAGGGGGGTTGCGTGTCCTCCGAACATCCAGAGATCCTCCTCCGCTTCATCAGAAAGCAGCGGGGGGAGTTCTGCCAAGATATCCGGGTCGGAGCAGGCGCGTTTCACGGTGCCAACGCCCGAGGCATTCCAGCGGAAGGAGCAGTTCCGGCCCAGCTGGCAGCTGACCAACAAGGGCGAGCTGGTCTGACTGACCACGTATCGCCAGGTCTGCTGCAAGTAGGAGACATTGAAGCCACCGAAGGACAGCAAGCCACGAGAAGCGTAGTCCCAAACAATGCCATGACCGGTACGGCCGGTTGGGCCTAAGACCTCGGTTTGCAAGCCCTCTTGCTTCCAGGAGTTTGTCAAGAGGCTGTAGTTGTAGAGAGACGACGTGTAGCTGAGGTCGTTGCTCACATTGGCGATGCCACCCATTACAAGCATGCTCATTGACACCGGGTCCCACGCAGCGGCATGCCCAGCCCGAGCCGTGGGCCAATATCCTGAAGCTGACAAGTCGGTCCAGGTGCCTGCTGAAGCATCGTAGCTGCGAAGGTCATCCAGGTAATGCTGCCCACTCCACCCACCAAAAACGAGCATGGAGCGAGTTGTGGGCACCCAGACGGCAGTGTGCCGGCTGCGCGCTCCGGCCCCTGTCGCCCCAGGCTCGCTCCACTGGCCGTCGGCGAGGCTGTAGCGCTGGAGGTCCTCCAACACCTGGCTGCCGCTCTCTCCTCCAAGAACTAGCACCGCATTTTCCAAGGGGTCCAGGATCGCGGTGTGGTAGGCGCGTGCCGACGGCTGCGCCGTGGCAGGCAATCGCCTCCAAGCGCTGTCGTTGCTGCCAAAGTGCCAGACGTCATTGTAGAAGGTAACTTGTGCCCTGCCTCCAAAGATCAGCATAGATCGCGAATGCGCATCCCACATCGCTGCGTGGCCCCATCTGGCACCGGGGGCGGGGCCCTCACTCGATGGCAAGATCTCAGTCCAAGCCCGTCGAGGCCAGTCGTAATGCCAGAGGTCCGCAAAGTAGAGGAAGGCGTTGCTGGCGTGGCCCCCGAACATCCACGCAGACTGAGTCTCGCTGTCCCAGACCATGGAAGCGTCCTGGCGCCCGGCGGGGCTTCCGGCGGGTGTGTACTCGCTCCACGCATCCGACTCGCACTCAAGACCTGCACTGAGAACTGGCCACAAAGCACATCATGTGTTCATAACTGTTCGTATCATGTCCACGTCAATTCCTAGCTTTCACTTCAACGGCCTGCGGCTTCCTGAGGAGTGCAGTCGTGCAGATGCCAGCCGCGGAAGACGCAGTCGCGAAGACTCACTTCTGTACCTGTACACCTCATGTTGTCAGCAACGATGGCGCCAGCCCCCACCCCGCCCCACATCGTTAGCGAGAGGGTCCTGCCACCGGCCATGCCGAGATCGCGGCAGGCCACTTGCGCCACCCGGTCGTTAAAGCCATCATCGCACACTAAGCCGACCGAAGCATCGTGCTGCATTTGAAGCAGCCCTCTGGCAAAGCCATGGTCTGCGGTAAGGGCGAGCACGCTGACACCCTGAAGGCCAGCACCAACGGTCATGGGAAAGAGCTCCGCAGGCACCAAAGCCACACCAAGCTCGCCTGCCACCGAGCCGACGCTGCGGGCGCTGCCAATGCCCAGCTGCCCAGCACTGCCATCGCCCCAGCACCTGGGCAGCATGCATGCGCAAACTCATGGCTTTGGGCAGTTGCGAGTTTTATTGCGGATTGCAGGTGCCTCGTGCTGTCGTCGTCCAGCAGCACGCAGGTGTGGCCGTAACCGGCACTCACATCCCGCACCTCGAGATTGCCGAGGCCGACCGCGCGAAGATTGGAGCCCATCTCTGACGGCTCATCTCCCAAGTCCTCTGTGTTGCCCTGGCCAAGCCTCGAGCCGTCACAGGGGAATCCGCAATTTGGATTTCTTGGAAAGCCACTGTTTCACCCCTAACTGAGGCCCAGGCTGGCCACTCGATCCCTCGCCCCAGCACTTGAGGGTTGCATCTTGGAGGATGGCACAGTTGAAATGACTGCCGGCAGTGATGTAGACCGCCGTCATGCCATCACCCAGATTCGTAGCAGGAAGATTGGTGCCCATCTCACCGGGCTGGTCTCCCGCGTCTTCGAGGGTGCCGTGTCCAAGCTGCCCCCTGTGATTCCGACCCCAGCACTTTACCGAGCCGTCGGACAACACCTGCCACGGGCAATGTGACACGATGCGATACAACGAGTCCAGGGCGCTGGATGCGGGCAAGCGGCGGCGCAGGTGTGCCTGTCTCCGGCTGTGATCTGCACGGCAGGAAGGAGACCCAAGTCCACTGCAGGCAGAGCATCGCCCATCTCGTTGGGGCTGGCGCCGATGTAGACTGCAGTATCCCCAAGTCCCAGTCCCAGGCGGTCGCTCCGTCCCCAGCATTTCACGGCACCTTGGCTTGAGAGAGCGCAGCTGTGGAAATCTCCCACGGCCAGCTGCACCGCTTCGAAGTCTGTCCCGAGGTCAACAGCAGGGAGCTCCGAGCCCATCTCGCCGGTGTCGTCGCCACGGTGCTCCCTCAGTTTCCAAGCTCTCACTCAACTCTCGAGCGACGGCACAAGTAGCAGGGATCTGGAGCACGAAACCTCTCAGGCCGACGCTGGTCTCCCAAGCCCAGTAGGGGACCTTGTCCGAAGCACTTCACGCGCCCGCCTCGAAGCAGAGCGCAGGTTTGTAGCCATCTCGCAGCCACCTGCACCACCTCCGCACCAGGGCCCAGGTCCACGGCTGGCAGGTGCTCGCCCATCTCGAAGGGCTCGTCTCCAACATCGCGGGTGTGTCCGTAGCCAAGCTTGCCATACTCGTTGTCCCCGAAGCATTTCAGCACCCCCGTCTCGAGAACTGCGCAGGTGTGCCAAGTCCCGCCGGCTGCCTGCGTCACTCGAACGCCCGGCTCCCCGAGGTCCACCACCGGCAGGTTCTCGCCCATCTCACCCGGAACAAGCCCCACATTTTCTTCGCTACCGTAACCCAACCGGCCGTCAACATATCCCCAGCACTTCAGGAGGCCCTCGGCCTTGAGAACTGCACAGTTGTGGTAGTTACCAGAGTAAAGGTTCAGGAACTCTGCCGGGGCTGCTCCCGGCCCCTCCCAGGCGAGGATCGCGTCCAAACTTACATGGGACTCAACGTGTCTGGACTCGGAGTTCACGAAGCGGAGCATCTCCACCCCAGTTGGGAGCGTGACCTTGGCCTGAAGCCAGTCGGCCCCTTGGTTTCCTTGCCGGGACCAGCGCAAGCTCCACCTGCCTTCTTTCAAGTACCATAACTCCAGCTTGCCGATTCCACTAGCAAACATGTGGAAGGCAAACTCCAAGTAGGAGACGTTGGCGAGCTTCCCGAAGAATGGGCTGGTGAGCGTGAACACCTGCAGGGAGAGCACAGGGCTAGAGGGAACTCTGAATTTGCCCCTTGTCACCTGGTTTGTAACTCCTCCAGCAGAAGCATAGCTCTCGGCGTGGAAGGCCGCGGTTTCTAAGGAGGGGCCGCTGAGGCGCCGCCAGTCTCCCACCCACTTGCAAGTGTCCTGCTCGAAGCTGCAGCTGATGCTTGCCAGATCCGACTCGGTGCTGGCCGCCAAGAAGGAATCCAGTTTCACCAAGTCTAGCTCGCTGACATTGGCCACGAAGCGGAAGCCGACACTGCCAGCAGGTATGGAAACTGTGGCAGCATGCCAAACTGCGCCGCGGCTGCCCGACTCCGACCACAAACGCTGCCAGCCGCCAGCAGAGGTTTTGTGCTGTAATTCCAACGCCACGGTCTCCGAGCCGGAGAGCTGGTAGTCGAAAAGCAAGGCCTTCTCCTCCGTGGTGTTGAAGAGCGCCGCCGTCTCCAAGATCCATTCCGAAGCTTGGGAACTGTTCCCAGAAGCCTCCAGCCACTGGCCACCTGCATCCCCCGCAACCTGCCAGGAAGAGGCACCAGTGCTCTGCCACAGGCAGGCATCATGACGGAAATTACAAGTGAGATGATCGAACTCCACGGCGGGCAGCCCCGTGGCGATGCCATCCAACGCCATATCGCTGTACCAGCCGCCGGCAAATGTGGTTCCCACGAAACGCACTGCCGTGACGTTCGGCGGCAAGTGTACCGCGGCCAGGTTCCAATCTTGGCCTTGCGCTCCTGCTCGCGCCCACAGCTCCGTCCACCCAGCGCTGCTGAAAGCTTCCAGCCGCAAGCGGCCCATGTCCACCCCGTGCATGTGGAAGTGGAAGTGGAGATGCCGGATTTCTTCGGACGGCTCGAAGACGCTGCTGCTCAGCATGAAGTCCTGCAAAGCGCACGACTCCAGCAAGACGCAGGCTAGGCAGGCTTCACCTTGCTCCCAAGACTAGAGAGACGGTGCACGCAGTTCATGCGGCACGCAGGATGCCGGGATATGTGGGAATTTAACATGATGTGTCTATGATGTGACAGCAGCGCAGTAGCCCTCAGATCATCAATCGGAGCCTCCGGCCTGGTCCTCAGCCAAGGAATACACATGAGCGAACCAGTCGTTCTCAATCGCCGATGTCGGTCCAGTCGTCGCATATTCACTCGCGGTGGATCGCAGCCAAGCATTCTCTCTGCTATCGCCTGTGGTCCAACTGCAGAAGTCGACTTCGAAGT